TTAAGAAGGTTCAGTCGGCTGTGACAAGTTGCCTTCAGAGAGGTAATGTGAGGTTTCCAGGATAACCTACGACCCAAAGAGGAGGCCCAGAAACTGACTGTATCACGTTCAGGGATACGGAGCCCATAGAGGTACAAAGGATATCGGAGATGACAGAGCGTCTAGTGAAAGTGTTTTGGGTGGGTTTAAGTGCTGGAAAATTTAAACCCACGTGTGGTGGCCCAATTGGAAACACGGTCGACTGCATGTTGGGAGAAACGTAATGAGGTGACAGTCAGCGCCTCCCAGGCAATAGTGAAGTCATCAACATAGAGTGATGACCAAATATTTGATGGAAACTAGAGGCCAAATCATTAAAAGCAAGGAAAAAAAGGTGTTGTGCTCAAACACACCCTGGGGGACACCTTCAGCTTGGATAAAGCCCCGGGAGAGCACATTATTAACCCCGAACACGGAAATGCCTGTCAATTAAAAGTTCTTAAGGAAGGATGGTAGATTGCCTCGAAGGCCAAAGGGAGTGGGCTTGGCTAAAATATTAATACCTCCAAGTTGTGTCAAATGCCTTCTCAAGGTCAAAAAATATGCAATAACTGAGTGGTTTTTCGCAAAGGCATTACGAACATACGTATCCAAGCGTAGTAAGGGGCCCTATGGTAGAACGTCCCTTACGAAAGCCATATTGATGAGTGGAGAGACTGTCGTGTGTCTCTAAATACCACACTAAACGTCTATTTTAACTAGGCGTTTCATTACTTTGCAAACTGCACTGGTAAGAGCAATGGACAATAGTGGGAGGTTTCATGTCCCGTAGTGCTGGTTTGCGGAAAGGGAGAACAATGGCGGTTTTCCCCACAGCTGTGGAAGAACTCCTTGTGACCAAATAAGATGTAAAGGCGTAATAGGACTGCAAGGGCTGACTGATGTAAAATGCTGTATCATACGAATATGAATGTCGTCGGGCCCAGTTTGCCGATGATCGACAAGCTGAGAGTGTTGCCCCATTTTCTTGAAGTGTAAAAGGCACATTATACTTTTCTTCTCGAAAAAAGAAAATCCAAGGGTGCTAACTCTCTGGCAGACTTTGAGGAAAGAAATGAGGGGCATAGATGGAGTCCCTGAGAAATACGGACCAGATGATTGCCAATTTCATTGGCAACATATATGGGTTTGCTATATCAACACCGGCAACCCGCAAACAGGAGCCGGGTCAGGAGAATATTTACCACTCAGTTTTCGTACTTTTTTCCAGACTGCACTCATAGAGGAAGCAGAGGTGATGGTGGAGACAATCTCGCCAGCAAGTGCGTTTAGCGTCACGGATACACGGCGAGCGATCGCACACTTCTGTTTTAAAATCAAGGATCGCTCTGTGGTTCTATTGTACCGGTACCTGCCCCATGCAGCGCGTTTCAAACGTACGCACAAGCACAAGCAGAGACCACCAAGGCACGCATTTCTGAGAATGCCTGCCCGAAGTTTGGGGTATAGAATGAGAAGTTTGCGGTGAAAACGGAGGACGAGAAGAGGTGTAAAAGCTCATCGATGGAGGACGAAGAAGGAACCTCTTTAAAACAGTTAGGTGTGAGAAAAGGGTTCCAATTTACCCGATTAAATTGCCAGCGTGGGGTGCAAAAGAGGTGGCGAATATGAAGGGAAGTAAGAATGATTGGGAAATTGATCACTGTCATGTAAGTCCGGGAAAAACAGACCAAGTGAAGTCTAATGCGGCGGGGGAAGAGCAGACAGAGATCAATGCAAGAGAGAGTACGAGTCCGAGGATCAAAATGGGTGTGAGTACCTGTATTCAAAACATGGAGGGGTGGGTAGCAAGAAAAGCCTCTAAATGAATTCCACGGGAATCACAGTGAGACCCCCCCCCCAGAGGAAATGGTGGGCATTAAAATCACCAAGTAACAGAAATCGGGGGCGGTAATGACGAAACAAGGAAGGCAAAATCCGGAATAGATAATGCCCGAAAGGAAGAGATATAAAGAACAAGCGTATACCACCTATGTAAGTGGATACGGGCTGCTGTGTAATGCAGCGAAGTATGAACAAATACTGATGGTACGGAATATCCAGTGCGAGAAGAAGGGCACTTTCATTAAAGGTCCCATCAGGAAAAGGATCGAAGAATACAAAAAATTATAGCCTGAGATGTGAGAAATAACAGCAGAGTGTAATTTTGGTTCCGCAAGCAAAAACCAACAGGGGGAAACTGGGAGAGTAACATCTGAAGCTCACCCCGATTACTCCTGAGGCCGTGTATATTCCACTGTAAATAGCCATGAATTGGGAATGATAAAGATAAATTGAAATCCGCAGGTAAGGTTCCTACGGACTAAAGGGTTAGAAAAGTCCACATTCGGAGGCAGTGAAAAACGTTCAAGCAGCGAAGGAACGTGCGCTGTGAAGAAAGGGGTGCGCAGATGGAGCAGAGGAGAGAGAAAGAGCGAAGGTTTGGGTCAGTGTCCATTGATGGTTTGGTCTCTGCAATATATTCAGAGATTGTTTCAAAATGTTTCGGAATTCAGAGATGTCGTATGGGGGACAATATTGGGAATGGTAGGGGGGGGATGAGTAAAGAATTTGGGAAATGTATTGGACTGTACCAAGGTAGGGGGGGGGGGTGAAAGGGTGGAGGGAACTGGAGAAGCGTGGCAGGGGACAGAAGAGGCAAGAAACCCGGGAGGTGGCAGAAGAGGGAAAAAACTTGGGAGGGAACAGGGGGAGGAAGGTACATTACGAGGAGGAGGGTGAACCTCTGCACTTGTAACTGAGGGCCCGTGAGAGGGGAAGAACTAGGGACAGAGACAGAGAGGGTAAAATGAGGAGGTGGAAGATGGGTAGGAGGTGTTTACCGACCTTTTTTGACTTTTGAGAAGTAGAGGGACGATTGGGAGGGGGTGTCCCTACGAGGTCTCGTCGAACTGAGGCTTGTGAGAGAGAACTCGAAGAAGCGAGATTAGACTGAGGCGTTGAAGTAGGGACGTCTGAGCCGAGGAACAGCAAAAGGATTAGATACAGGAGTGATTATGGGAGAGGTAACCACAGAGGTGGGTGTAGAAGATGGGATACCAGAAGTGGGGGACGTTTTGAAACACGGGAATAAAAACAATGTGGGGGTCTCCCTTGGAGGCGGAGATAGAAACTGCCATGGCATAAGGGAGAAACCCTTTTTTCTCTTTGAGGAAACGGATTTCCCGCTCGTTTTAAATAGACCTGACAACGGCGAGAGTACGAAGGGTGAGCCTCATGACAGTTTTAAAGGGAAGAGGGAATCGATTTGCAAGACGTATTAGAATGGTCATCAGCACCACAGACTGGCATTCGGCGATAGATCTGCAATATTTCGCTGGATGGCCAAATCGCCCAGCAATTTCTACACTGTTGTGGTGTAGGGATCACCTTTCGAACTTGTAACCGATGTCCTGCTATATAAACTGAGGATGGGAGTTCTCGGTGTCAAAAGTTAAATGAGCCACATTGCTAGGGTATCGTCTCCGCCCACGGCAGAAAACGAGTGTCTACCTTGAGGAAATTGGGAGATCCTGGAGTTCCAGCTGTTCTAGAATGTCAGTGCCAAAATGTCTGGAAATTTTGTTGAACTATGGTATGGGCCCGAATGACGGTACCACTACAAAGAATTGAGGGAATGATGTTTTTCAAGAGTGACAGGAACAGTAACGATATGGGAAAGACGAGAGAGCTCATGAGCCTGGGTAGCATTCTGTACGGTAATGATGCGCGTACCGCTCTTAAGAGCATGAAAAGAAATATCTTTACCAACATGGCGTAGGAGTGCCTTGCCAATACTATGGTCAGATAGATAGGCAGTAGAGGAAGTTGGTCGTAAAGTGAAGAATTTAGTCCATTGTTCAGTCGAAACTGAGCGTGGAAAGGGAGTGAAAGGGCGGTCGATCGTTTGAGAAGAACGAGAAGGTGGAGAAGTATCATCAGCAGGTAATTGTCGTTGGCGTTTAGGAGTGGGACCAGAGTTATTCGACGTGGAACGGGTTGGCGATTTGAAAATTGCCGCACCGTAGAGGGAGAGGCCGGAAGCATAGTCAGAGGAGAGAGAAGGTCCGATAAATCGAAGGAGTCAGTCGAGGCCTCAGTACCTGAAGCGGGTGAGGAAACAGCACCGGCAATAGGTACAGAGGCATGAGGAATGTCTGAAGAGTGGTCCAAAGACGAGGCGGGGTTAGAACGGGTTGCGGTATCAAGAAGGGGCCCGGGGGTACCAGGTTCATGGACTACCCTGTGGCGCTGTATGATGCTGGTTAAGTTTAGTGCTTCCTTTTGATTGTAATAATAATAATCTGGTCTATATCTGTTGAGCTACTGAATTTCCTGGTACTAATGTCTGGTATAATGCTGCCACCTTTCTTCCATTTCACGTTTGGGAAGTTGAAATCTCCAAGAAGGATATCTGCTGTTTTTCTGTCATTGTGTATCCCAGAACGAGCAGGAAATGATCTTTTATTGTCTAGCTCTGATGTAACTCCTGCCTTAAAAGACACTGAGCAAAAATCAATATTCAAGATGGATAAGCACAAGCGATATGAATATACCATCAATGGCATTAACATGTTTGTTTTGAAGACTCATAATGCAACCTATCATTTTTACTGACTTTTAAACTAGATTACATTATAATCATGTTGGGCACTAAACCTGAAAAGGTCAAATAGCACTGAAATTATTATAATGAACAGGTCATCTGAAGAATGTGTATGCAATCTGGCAAGACAGCTATTGAATGAATGTGTTTCCTTGTATGGGTTAACATTCCAGTGTAGGAAATGGCCCACAAGTTACAAAAAAGAACAAAAGATTCAAGTAAACTGCTTATAATCTGAGAGCTTCTCTATTTGAAATATATAAGGCTACTTCGGCAAGTGCACTCAAGATGGTAAAGCAATTAGAAATTTATGGTCTAACAATGTACTATGTTAATAGAAAAAAAAAAAATCCTACGCAAAAAATTCTATACTCACCTGAATATCAATCTCAACATTTTCCATGGGAACACCCATAAACTTTGCTTGTACATAGAAAATTCCTGTGGTGGCTAGAGGAGTGATCTCAAACAAAATGTTTTTATGCTGAGATTCTGGAAGATCTTCAACATCCAGTAACACACCTTTTTCTATAAGCTTTGCAGCTGTATATTTAAGTGTCTGCTTAGATCGAGCCTTTTCACCACCCTGTTTGCCGTATGTCTGATGCACATTCCTGTAAATAAAAGGAGATTAGTTATGAATGATGCAAGGTGTTCCATAGTGCAATCACTAGTGCACTCGGCTCACACACTGAGGTCTGGGGTTCAATTTCTCGGTACGCCAGAAAACAGGACGTGTTTTCTTAAGGCACCTACTGTCCCAGTTAACCCATCAGTTACATGGGTACTTGGGTGTTAGTCGACTGGTGTGGGTAGCATCCTGGTACAGAAATATACTTAATTTGCCAAAAATGCTCTGCATAACAATGGGGCTTCTGTATAGAAGTACAGTGGAACCTCAAAAATCGAACGTATCACATATCGAAAGTTTCGAAAATAGGACCATTTTTTCGGGCAAACTGTGTCCCAATTATCGAACGCGCCCGTATTTTCGAACCGCCGGGTATGGGACCTGTCTGCCGCCTGCATCCCCGCGCAGGCGCCGTGAGCAGTCTAGCTTTGTTTATGCTTGAGTGAACACTAACCTGCACTCTCATTCACGCATTTTACGATTATTTCGTTGTGTTTAGTGCTTATGGGACTGTGAAATAAGCTGCCATGGGCCCCCTGTGGCAAAGAAAGTGAGAAACACCATAGATGTGAAGAAGGAAATAATACAGAAGTATGAGAGTGGTTTGAGACTTGTTGAGTTTGCCAGGATGTATGGGAAAAACAAGTCGACCATCGGTTCTATCCTGTCAAAGAAAGAACAAATCAAGGAAGCTGATGTTGCGAAAGGTGTTAATATAGGAAGTGGATGAGGTGCCTTCTTCAAAGATTAAGGACATTTGTGCCAAGTGGAATGATGTCCAAATGTTTGTACAGAAGTACCACCCTGAGCAAGCTGAAACAAGCCATCTTTGCAACAAGTTCAGTGACAGAACCATGTCCCATTTTAGGGAAATGTTAAAGAGGTGCCAGAAACACAGGAATGTGGACAGTTATTTTGAGAGACGGGTCCAGCGACTCTCAAGCTGGTCCTAGTGGCATTAAAAGACAGAAGGGAAGTAACCCTAGAGAGGGGTTTACCTGAAGTCCTCGTGGAGGGGGATTCTCCTTCCAAACACTAACCCCAACTCCCTCTCTCCTCCTCCCTATCTTCCAGATGCCATCACCAATCTTCAATAAAGATAAGTAAAAAATTTATTTTATATGTATTACTATACATAATTAAAAACTATAGTACTTATTGTATGTAAAACTAATTAATCTCTATAAAATATATTTTTTGTGTGAATATTTTTGGGTTTCTGCAACGGATTAATTGTATTTCCATTATTTCTTATGGGAAATATTGCTTCGAATTTCAGACTTCGAATTTAGAACTAGCTCCTGGAATGGATTAAGTTCGATTTTTGAGGTTCCACTGTACGTCACTGATGTCAGCTAGGCTTGTATACCTAGTGCAAGTACTTGCTGAATAAGATTACAAAATCTGATGCAGATTCCCTGATGAAAAATCAAATTTAAAGCTTAATATTAGTACATAAATCAAATTAAATTTGACAAACACATTCTCAAAGACTATTTTAAATTTTCAAAGCCATATGTTTAGCATGCTTAATAGTAATGCTGGCTTTTTTTTTTTTTTTGTAGTGTATCAGCTCAGGACCCTAAAAATGGACTAGAGAAAGGAAACATTAAGCACAATTATATACAGTGGTCCCTCAATTATTGTACTTAATCCTTTCCTGGAAGTGGGACTATTATCGAAATAGACAACTTTCGAATCAATTTTCCCCATAAGAAATAATGTAAATCCAATTAATTCGTTCCAGACACCCAGAAGTATCGACAACAATTTTTTTTACCTAAAAGATAGATTTACATGCACAAAAGAATGAACATTCAACATGACAGTTACCTTTATTGAAGGCTGTTGTTGATGAATGGAAGACAGGGAGGAGAGAGAGAAGAGAGGTTATTGTTTGGAAGGGGAATCTCCCTCCATAAGGACTCTAGGTCACTTCAGGGGTCACTTCCCTAGCACAAATATAGATTTACATGCAGAAAAGAATGCCAAATAAATGTAAAGCACTAATAAAATGTATAAATGAACATTGGTAATAGGGATAGTTGATGAGTGGAAAGGTCTGCCTAGTAGGGTGATCAAAGCTAAAACATTGGGTTGTTTCAAATTTAGGTTGGATAAATACACGAGTGAGAGGGGTTGGATTTGAGTTGGATTTGCACCTGAGTTTATTGCTTGGGTAGCATTTGTTCTGTTAGCGGGTTGGATTTGTGAAGGACCAGCCTAGTATGGGCTGACAGGCTTATTGCAGTGTTCCTCCTTTCTTATGTTCTAAAAGCTATGGCTTAGGTAGTTTCAAATTTAGGTTGGATAAATACACGAGTGAGAGGGGTTGGATTTGAGTCAGACTTGCACCTGAGCTTATTGCTTGGGTAGCATTTCTATTAGTGGGTTGGATTTGTGAAGGACCGGCCTAGTATGGGCCAGCAGGCCTACTGCAGTGTTCCTCCCATCTTATGTTCTTACTGAAGACTTCTTTGTGTGAGGGAGGGATGGCAAGTTTATTGTTGGAGAATATGACACTAATATCAACTCTACGGCTTATTTATCTATCACAATTCAACTAATATGACATAATAAACATAGAAACATGGAATATACTCTAGAATGAATAAAGTAAGTCATTACGTATGTCACGAGAGGTGGTGTTGTGTTGTGTTGTTGTTGGGTATATAAGGGCCACAGAGTAAGCCGTCCATAATGGTGGTGAAGCAGCAGCTGAGGCGGTGGTGTTTTCTGTAGCCCTATATAACTCCAACAACATTGGAGGATTTGGTAGAATTGCTGAATCACTAAAGAAGGCACCCTGTACCACCATCACTACCACCTTCTACCACTATTACAATTGCTACCACCATCACTACAACCTTCTACCACTATTACAACTGTTACCACCATCACTACTGCCTTTACCACCATCACTACCACCCTCTACCACCATCAACCACTATCAAAACTGCTTCCACTCTACCACCACCACCTTTGTATTTTTCTACAAACTTTCATAAATTATACACGTTTCTCACATTCTTTATCAAATGGCTGGCACTAGAAGCTTTCTTTGAAGCCATGGTGACTTATTTAGCAGTTGCAAGCACTAAAACGAATTGAATATTATGAAATATTTCGTATGAACAAGTGAGGGGACAGTCACTCACTGGTAAACAATGGCACACTGGCTGGGAAGAGGGGCTGAGGCGGCTCAGAGCGTAAGTACGTGTCCCGGACGAAGGACAATTAGCGAGTAAACCGACCATTTGCGAGCCAATGTTTGGACGAGAATAACGCGATGATTTCCAAAAAGGACGACTATCGAGCCGGAAGATTATTGAGGGACCACTGCACTTCTTTCAACATACCAGCCATATCCCACCAAGGTGGAGTGGCCCAAAAGGAAAAATTAAAGTTTCTCCTTTTAAATTTAGTAATATATACAGGAGAAGGGGTTATTAGCCCCTTGCTCCCAGCATTTTAGTTGCCTCTTATGACACGCACGGCTTACGGAGGAAGAATCCTGTTCCACTTCCCCATGGATACAATTATATACTCTTTTTTTTTTTAACAAGCTGGCCGTCTCCAACCGAGGCAGGGCGACCCAAAAAAAAAAAAAATCCCCAGAAGAAAATACTTTCATCATCATTCAACACTTTCACCTCACTCACACACAATCAATGTTTTTGCAGAGGTGCTCAGAATACAACAGTTTAGAAGCATATACGTATAAAGATACACAACATATCACTCCAAACTGCCAATATCCCAAACCCCTCCTTTAAAGCGCAGGCATTGTACCTCCCATTTCCAGGACTCAAGCCTGGCTATATAAAACTAACCGGTTTCCCTGAATCCCTTCACTAAATATTACCCTGCTCACACTCCAACAACAGCTTGTCAGGTCCCAAATACCATTCGTCTCCATTCACTCCTATCTAACATGCTCACACACGCTTGCTGGAAGTCCAAGCCCCTTGCCCACAAAACCTTTACCCCTTCCCTCCAACCTTTTCAAAGACGACCCTTACCCCGCCATCCTTCCCCTACAGATTTATACACTCTCCATGTCATTCTACTTTGATCCATTCTCTCTAAATGACTAAACCACCTCAACAACCCCTCTTCAGCCCTCTGACTACTACTTTTATTAACTCCACACCTTCTCCTAATTTCCACACTCCAAATTTTATGCATAATATTTACACCACACACTGCCTTTAGACAGGACATCTCCACTGCCTCCTTGCTGCATCATTCACAACCCAAGCTTCACACCCATATAAGTGTTAGTACTACTATACTTTCATACATTCCCTTCTTTGCCTCCATAGATAACGTTTTTTCTCTCCACATATATCTCAATGCACCACTCGTCTTTTTTTCCTTCACCAATTCTATGATTAACTTTTTTTTTTTTCAAGAAACTGGCCGTATCCCACCGAGGCAGGGTGGCCCAAAAACAAAAACAAAAGTTTCTCTTTTTAAATTTAGTAATATATATATATAGGAGATGGGGTTACTAGCCCCTTGCTCCTGGCATTTTAGTAGCCTCTTACAACATGCATGGCTTACGGAGGAAGAATTCTGTTCCACTTCCCCATGGAGGTAAGAGGAAATAAACAAGAACTAGAAAGAAAATAGAAGAAAACCCAGAAGGGTGTGTATATATACATTTGTACATGTATGTGTAGTGTGACCTAAGTGTAAGCAGAAGTACCAAGACGTACCTGAAATCTTGCATGTGTACGAGACAGAAAAAAAAGACACCAGCAATCCTACCATCATGTAAAACAATTACAGGCTTCCGTTTTACACTCACTTGGCAGGACGGTGGTACCTCCCTGGGTGGTTGCTGTCTACCAACTTACTACCTAGGATGATTAACCCTATCCTTCATAAATCCATCCACTGACATGTCAACTCCCAAATATCTGAAAACATTCACTTCTTCCATACTACTCCTCCCCAATTTGATATCCAATTTTTCTT